TATATATATATATATATATATATAAGCAGTATTATGAGCCACCTGGAATGAAGAGCAACAATGATTTGTCTGTTACTGACGGAGTTACTGAGTGCTAGAGCACTTCGGATGGTACTGGTGTGATATAGAAATGGTCGATTAAGCTATCAACTAATGCTATGTGGCAAATAGATGAACTTGGAATGAAGATGCAGAGGAGGCTGCTGCTTTTTTTTGCAGTTGTTCACGCTGATTGTCAAATTACCGTTTTTTTCATGTGTATATTTACGTAAATGTCAGCCTTTTAGACAGTCTTTTAAGCGGTAATAACGAAGCTAGATGAGGAGAGCTTTCAAAATTGCTTTTTCCGTTTGAGACTTCAAATAAAATAAATAAAATATCTCTTTCTCGGAATTCTATAAACGTTTGACGCGCGTAGTGCTTTTATCCATTTTGGCGCATGTCTTAAGTTTCCTTTTACCCCATTTTTTTTGCAAATTTTTGCTTCACATGTTTAGACGTTAGATCGGTAAGTGAGGAAAAAATCATTTTAGTTTTTTATCAAGGAATTTTTTTCACGATCATAATATATAAAAATTCAAGCACTTATTTATTATTTACAGAGGTATATAAATCTGTTTTTCTAAACTTTATTAGTCTGGAGGACCCATACGCACGTTTCTCTGGTAAACGACAGTTATTGGTCTTTAACTGAGCATTGCAAGGAGTTTCGGAAAAGCGGTGGTCATTGACTTGAATAAAAGTGGTGAGTATTAAGGGGAAGGTAGCCGTTAACCTAAAAAAAAACTAAACTAAAATAAGAATTCTCAAAAATTTGTAAGGGATTTTAAGAAATAGGTACTGATCCTTGTCAAAAATAAATGAATGTTGCACTTAGATTAGCCCACTAGACTTTTCATGATTTTTACAGTCGATACGCCGTAAGTTTACTCAAGGAGAATGCTAGTTGAAATTTCCTTCCTAGACTCAATTGCAAAGTACGCTGTTAGGCGCAGCTGCTACTTTGGCAGTCAAAACGATGACAGTGCTGTCGCATTTTATAACTTTTCAAAAGCTGAAAGTTTTTATTGCTTCCATTTTTAACATTATATATTACTCCGTGTTAAAGTGAACAACTGATGCTTACATTGGAGTGATTTTATTTTTATTTCTCCCTATACCCATCAAAAACTGCAAAAATAACAGTCTAAAAAAAACTAAAATAATTTTTCATTACTTTATTCTTCATTCAGACATCATCAGTCGTTTAATTTTCGTTTAGTCTCACATGGAGTTGGTGCCGAATACCTCACGCTTACAAGAATTTGTTCCTGAGCAAGGTTTAGATTAAAAGCCTTTTCAAAAGGGATTGGGTTATGGTTGACAACTCTGGGAGGCCAAATTGGAAATGTGCTTCCATGAAATTATCAATGGAAACGAACCAGTGGCTGAAAGGTTGTCATCGTTGGCTCAAAATTACGACGTTGTAAATTTACTGAAACCACCAAATTCAAAGGTACAGATCTTGATACCATCGCTAAGGAAAAAGGCGTTTTCTTTAGTTGAAGAAGTTCCAGAAGAGATAAAAGTCGAGTGGAAAACAATACAAAAGGTTTAAAACGAGTTAAGTTAAATTTCAATGTCCAGAAAAGTGATGGACCAAGCGGGTAAAGCTGGCTCTGAGTTACAGACCTTGTTGCTTCAGAAAAGATACACAACAGTTCTGTTTCTTTGAAGCAAGTTGGGAGGGAGTTATCATTCAGGATTAATTTTTAGAAAGATTCGTTTATGTCTTTTCCAAGGCATGACATTCCTACATCTTGAGTCATTAACTTTATTGGTTGGTATTAGAACTACACTATACGTCGAACGCGAAATGAGTATGTTGTTTGTACATCATAGTATTCAGTGCAGCTCTAAGTGCGTACTACGTTGGTTGAAAACGTTCAGGATTCTTTCGGTATTTGTTCCAAATTGAATTGAAGGAATGAAGAAAACAAAAGAAGTAGAGATACGTTATGTTTTGTTGAAAGGAAATTTGTGGACATAGTAATCGAAAGGAGTGCGTGAAAAGATTTAGTTAAGGGCAAGAGGTCGTGGAAGGGGCTTCAATGGCTTTCCACCGCAAAAGATTTTTAGCCCAAAGTAATGAGATGTATTGGGCTTGAAGAAGATGAAAATATATAGAAGAAAAAAAACGGGGTTGAAGTTTTTAGTACAACGGGGAAATCCCCTTGTTTATGCAGATTTTTCCACCCTGTGCTTAGAGTTTGTGAAAGCAAAATTGTAGGATAGGGTACCGGTGAGATTTTCGAGAAAGTCTTTACAAACATATTCTGTTTTGTGTAGTATAGAGGATTATGCATTCATAAGAGTGCGAGAACAACAAACGACAGAGTATCTTCTCGTTTTCTTGGAGCAGTAACACCTTGTCAGCGAACAATTTAAAGAAACCTTAAAAGTTAAGAAACCAGTTACAATTTTATTTAGATAACGGAATTTTGAAATGTTTGTGACGTTATCAAATTTGCAGCTACTTGCTGATACTAGATATCCAACTCTCTTAGGTCATAAAGGTCAAAAAACAAAGCCAACCATCAAAGAGTCACACGTGAGAGTTCTTCATATTGGGTTGCAAGTAATTCTGAAGAAGGTGTTCATTACAGATGGTAGATGACTAAAGGACGAGCGAGGGTTAAAAAATACTTAAGACGATGTAGAATTTGATAGAAATACCGAGGTATGCCGTATGCCTTATCAAGGATGATACCAATATTGGGATTTAAGGAAAGAAGGTGTACTCTGTCTGAAGTCACCGGTCTAGATTAATGTGGATCAGTGCCCATTAGATCTGGCCACTATTTAAGTATTCTTAAACGTAGGTTGTGTTTTCATTACTTGCCTTACTACGTAATATGTACATGTACAGCTCATGATCGACAAGTCAACGTCAAGTTTCTCAAAACTTCTTAGAGGTTTACATTTTTACGTGGTAAACCCAAAGCCACTTATTCAGATAATATATTCAGATAATACAACTGAATTTGAAACGACCAATTAGGTGCTTGTATAGCTTTGGAATACGCTTATAATAAATGAAGATGTTTAATAAAAAGTATTATTTGGAAGTTTGTAACGGAGTATGCCTCTTGGCAAGGCGGTTTCTATGAGGGGCTTATTAACGTTGTAAAAACGTAGCTGCCAAAGACTACGAGAAGAAAAATTTTAAGATTAGAATTTAGATCGTTAACTTCTGAAGTGGCAGCAACAGTTAATTCAAGATCCCTAGCGTAAATTTATGATGGCCCATCTGCTACTGTTATTCGGTTACAGGTTTCTTGCCTTCTAGACAGACCACAGGAATGACGCTAGTGGGGACATATGACAATCTATACTAGTTATCACCAGAAGGAAGTAGAGAATTTCTCAATCTGTATAAAAGAAATTTGGCTTTAATAGACACTTATTGATGGTATTTCCATTGGGAGTATCCATCAAGTCTCAGAGGAAGTTAAAATTGAATTGCATAGATGTAATAAAATGGTCAAAGAAGGCCATATGTTGGTGACAGTGTGTTGGTGAAAGAAATTGATCTCCGGAGGGGAGAATGGAAACTAGGAAAGGTACGTGCCATTCGAACAAGAAACAATGGTTATATCAGGAAAATTGAAGCGATCCTCGAACCAAAAAATAACAAAGCGTCCTTTAAACTTTTTATTTTCCATTGAAAACAGCGTTTGCGTTGCTTTTCAAAGTAGATTGGACTCAAACTTCCTGTACTGGTTTACTTTGATTATTTTTTTCAGGATTACTTTCTAAACATTTTTATATTTCCGTTTATACGAAGGCGATGCAAAACGCAGGACTAAGCAACATGTTGGGGTGAAGGACCCGAGGCTCGACAATCGTTCAGGGAACTGTTCAAGAATTACAAAGGTGCGATCCAGTATGTTCATTATTGCAGTTACATTTTATATTATTTTCAACTGTTGTATAAGGTATTCAATAGTCTGTATATTTTGATTTACTACTTTTTTTTCTCTATATTGTGTTTTTTGCTACTTTTTTTTATCCACTGATACTATATATTTTCAAACTTGTAGCATTAGCTGTCTAATCCGGTCCTAGATGTTGTTTAGCTGAAGCGTCTCGGTCCTCCTTCGACTCTGAAGTGTCGCAACCATCCCTGAAAAGTACCGCAGGAAAAATGCAGAAACTACAGACCACTATAACCCCTTTAGGGAAGGAAGCTTTCAGAGAGGCTGTAGAACTGACCGTCTGTGCTGACCATGAACACTCCTTTTATAAGGAGATTATAACACTCAGAGGTATCTTCGTTATCACTGCTGTCACAGTCACAGAAATTATCGCTGTCCTCTCAATCCAAAGTTTGCAGTTTTGTTGGTTACTTGTTTTTATTATCGACTCCAGTATTTTAAATCGTGCCCAGCAAGCGGCTTTAAGGTTATCAATTATTACCAGTCAGTTATGTTCTTAAAGTGTGTTTTATTTGCAGTCACTGAACTCAGTTATTATTTTTTTTACAAGCACGGGGCTAGAAAAAGTGTTCGTGATATTCCTTAATTGTAAGGTCAAAGTAAAGAAATGAATAATTAAGTTTGGTCTCCGCAATTGTCAGAAAGAAAGCTTTCCATTTATACCTAAGTAAGACTACAGCTAGATAAAGAGGAACGGAGACGAAAGAGCCTGAAATTTTCGTAAAATCAAAAGATGCATAGGAAGTTGTAGTTGGCACTGTGGTTCGTAAGGGCTAATTACGTCCATAGTAGTAGCGTAAAATAATCAAAAACTTTTTTGGGCTTACCAGAAGAACAGTCACAGTAGTTGCTCCTCGGTTTAGTGAATTTTCAGGTTTGTCATGGCACAGCCATACCCAGCATTTCCACCATTTCTTTGCTTTTTTGTCCAGTTCATGCAGTTACATATGAGGCCTTGGTAATTTTTATGAGGCTTAATTACCACCGTAAAACTTATTCACCTTTTTCTGCATTCGTCATGCAAAACGAAAATGTAGATGGAAGGAATATTACAGTGGTTGTCGTGGTTATCCTAGAATATTTTCGCAATAAGGTGAGTGTCCCATGCGCACAATTAATGTTTCAATTCAGACTCGAATTCCGTCAGGTCTGAGATCTTGCTTTTACAGCTGCCTCTATAGACTTCTGATGGAGAATATGTTGCGAAAATTTCAACAAATACGATTCTTCAGTATAGAGTCAGCTCACCTACCGTATTTCGCTTATTAAGCCACGCTTTGTGGGGAGGACTTGATTTCTGATAACTCAACATAAGAAGGAAGGTGACGTAATGGTACCGTTAGAATACTTTCCAGGTTTACTGCTATCTTCTCCTTTATGGCGAAATTATGAAATAAGACTACTGTAATTAATGGGAACTAACTAAGCTTCGGATTTGTTAACCTATTGCTATGTTTGCAACTATGTTATCCAGAGCAGAGTTGCTAAAATCCTTTTTAAAAAGTGAGTGAATCTGCCTCGTTTATGACGTAGGCATTAATTTCCTATAAAAGGCTTATATAGAAATCTATTAAAGAGTTAAAATAGCTGTCAATTACGTCTCACAGAAATCTATTAGAAAAACTCAACATCTTTTCAAACTCACTCTGAGAAATGCGGGCTTAAACATACTCCGTATTAAAGGATTCATGTAACCGTTTTTAGCTCTACTTAAGACGTAAACAGCGAGGAAACTGCAAGTTAAGGAAGGAAAATGTACAAAGAAAGAAAAAGGCGAACAGTAATAAGAGAAATAAAAAAGAGTGTAGGGTTTGGCAGAGGTATATTGGTCTAAGAAACAAAGGCCAGTGTGTTCGGGAAAAAACTTTTTGTTGGCGTTTTGCCATTGACTTTTGCTAGCCTAGGCTTACTCCTTACTGAGTTGTCAGAATCATAAGTCAAGGTTCGCACGATGGAATAAAACTTTTGAAAGACTTCTTTTGAAGAAGTTTTGAAAAAATGTCCCATGTTTTTAGTTGTCATGGAAGATAGCCAAGTGAATCCAGGAAAAACTATAAATTTTTTGGTGCAGTCGGCTCCTTTATTATATTCCATGTATTGGTCAGAGCAAGAGTACGACATCTAGAGAAGGACTACCTTACTGTTCTGATTTTAATACTGGCAGCAGTCCAGCAAGCTAGGCGACACGTTTCACTTTTTCTTTAAATTTTATCTTTCACAAGGATTCGTCGATGGCTCTCTACTGTCGCGGTTTAGCTTTAAAGTTCCTTAAATTTTTCTCATTGTTCTGTCTTTTCAATCGTTTGAATGGCAGATGTAGCAACAAGGAATTGTTTTATCAGCCACTGAAAAGTCCCTAAATCCCTAA